TATATTCTCAATAAATGACAGCGGTTTCATTCCTTAATCTCAATTAGGAGCGGAGGAATGAATTTTCAAAGCGCGGCGAAACTCGGGACAAGTTCTTCTCATTCAAAAAATCATTTCTCCCCTCCGTAATTGAGATTAAGAAATGAAACCGATGTTATTTATTAAGAATATAATTCTCGATCGGTAGGCTTTGGTTTCATTCCTTCATCTCAATTAGGGAGGGGAGAAATGAATTTTTGAATGAGAAGAACTTGTCCAGAGTTACTGGGCGCTTTGAAAATTCATTCCTCCTCTCCTGATAGAAATTAACGGATGAAACCGCTGTCATTTATTGAGAATATAATTCTCGATCGATAGAAGCTGCTTTCATTCCTTCATGGCAATTAAGGGGAGAGAAATGAATTTTCCAATCAGGTCAGCCCCTCCGGGCTCACGCGACGCCGGAGAGCCGTTCGGAGTTACTCCGCGCTTTTGAAAATTCATTCCTCCGCTCCTAATCAAGATTAAGAAGTGAAACTGATGTCATTTATTAAAAATATAATTCTCAATCGGTAGGCTTTGGTTTCATTCCTTCATGGCAATTAGGGGGAGAGAAATGAATTTTCCAATCGGGGAAGCCCCTCCGGGCTCACTCGACACCGGAGATCTGGTCGGGGTTACTCCGCGCTTTTGATAATTTATTCCTCCGCTCCTAATTCAGATTAAGGAATGAAACCGCGGAAATGTAATAATTATAAAACTGGAAAATCATTCATTTGAAATTATAATAATTCTTTTCAGTAAAATATAATGATAGTTTTTCATAATATTTGCCGTTAGAAGGACGGCGGCGATATACAGTAGTATATATATATATATATATATATATATATATATATATATGCCTGCAATAATAATAATAATGATAATAATAATAATAATGATAATAATAATAAAATGTAATAATTATAAAACTGAAAAATCAATTATTTGAAATAATAATAATTCTTTTCAGTAAAATATAATGATAGTTTTCTTTTTTTCGCCTAAAGGAAGTTAGGCGGTGTTTCAGGTGAATTTGAGAGTGAATTTCTGTGGTTCACGGTAGCTTAGTCGGTAAGAGTGCCCGGCGCGTATCTGGGAGACCCAGGTTCTATTCCTGGCTGGGTGAAGCGGAAATTTTTTCTCTCTAAATTCTAATTCTCTTAGAGTTCGTTCCTCCTCTCCTGATAGAGATTAAGGAATGAAACCGCTGTCATTTATTGAGGATATAATTCTCGATCGATAGACGTTGCTTTCATTCCTTCACGGCAATTAGGGGGGAGAAATGAATTTTCCAATCGGGGGAGCCCCTCCGGGCTCATTCGACGCCGGAGAGCCGTTCGGGGTTACTCCGCGCTTTTGAAAATTCATTCTTCCGCTCCGAATTGAGATTAAGAAGTGAAACCGATGTCATTTATTAAAAATACCATTCTCTATCGGTAGGCTTTTGTTTCATTCCTTCATCTCAATTGGGCAGGGGAGAAATTAATTTTTGAATGGTTTCGTCCTGTATTTATTTTATTCTTAATTTTTTCTCTTTAAAATTCTGCGAATTTGGTCAAAATATCCAAGAATGGAGTTGATTGACTTTGATTTTAAACGGTATGAAGTGAATTTTAATGTATCCCTATATATTACATATTTTTCCATCTATAAGGAATCAAAGATGTTTTGGGATGTTTTGAACAAATTTGCGGAATTTCGGACAGAACAAATTTAAAATTAAAATATATCTAGGACGAAACCCAACTTGTATGAAGGCTCAAAATACTTGTTTCGATTATAAGAATCATAAAATAAGTAAAAAATAAGGGTTACAAATATGGTTCACAATGAGGGTCAAAAATAGTAATTACAATGAATGTCAAAAATAAGGGTCAAAATAAGGGTCAGGATGAGGGTAAAAAATAATGATCACGATGACGGTCATAGATAAGGGTCATAGTAAAAATCCGAAATATTACTATTTATATTATTACCAGGGCCCCGAACTTCATGTGATTACCATTGTTATCAACAATCATGCAACTGTTATTGACAATCGTAATTGGGCGAAATTCCGGGCCCTGGTTATAACATTTCAAATTCAGCAACATTCTCCCGCCAAACGCTGCCGACTTGACCGACCCAGTCAAGAAGTCGACACTGCCGCCATCCCACAGCATTCCCCCATCGAGTCTTCTCACGCTATCAACAATTTTTTTGTATTTATTCCAATTAACCAACTAAAGGTTGAATTGCAACAAATTACTCATCTTTATTTTTTTAATTATTTTTGGAACCCTATTTCTGTAATTTTAGACGTTTTTTACCCCAAACCAACATCCATGTAAGTATCCATGGAAGCATCCATGCAACTACATGGATACCGCTTCGCCAGGGCAAAACGAAAAAAATCGAGTTCAATTGCGCATATTTTGAAGCTATTTTAACTACCTTCAAATATGTGAAAACGAAAATTCGAGTCCTAGTGGTTAAAATGAATTATTTGATCTTTTCTTCAAGCAAACAAAATTCAAGCGTAAAAAGTGAATTTTTTGTGTAATCATAGTGCGTTGAAAAAAAAATCGAATCACTCTGGAAATTTTCCGAATATTCCTGTTTTTACTGTAATGATAAAAAAGTTTTAAAACACCACTCAGTAATATGCTTGCTATTGCATATTTGCTGTTATCTGCTTGTTATTAAGCATTACTCTGCCTGCAGAGAAAGAATTACGAAATACTTTAAATATATTGGACGTGTATTCCTACAACTAACGTACCAAGTTCATTGAAAGCCGTAATATTCTCCTCAAGCTTCAACCGATCCTCCAAAATGTCTGCGACTTCCCTAACCTGCACAAGATATCGAAAGTCCTCATTTCGTATTTTCTCAACGTAAGCTTTGGTGATAGCTCGAAGATAATTTTTAATACAATTTTCTGATATCGCTAACTCTACACGTGCCCCATAACTTTTTTCACAACCAACTCTAGTTTTAAGGTTATTCATCGTTCCTCTGAAGTGTTTCGGTACCCTTCCTATGTTCCTAACACCACGCATTCCGAAGTTTATCCCTCGCAAGGAGAACATTTTTTATTTCAAGTACTTTCACTGTTTTTAAGCGATTCGATAAAGAATACATGCATTGGAATCACAACCTCTAATCACTGAATGCGCAGAATATAGACGTCCATAGAAACCCAGCTGGGGCCTGTAGGGATTAAGGGTTAAGTCCAACGAGGATTTACTAAAGTAGAGGCTCAGATCTCGGGGTGGGAGTGACCCCAAGCCAAAAATAGTTCGACCCCAACGGAGGGATGCCGCCACGGTCGAATCTGACGGCTTGGCGGACTGCCTGTGCGGGTAACTCGGCAGTATATAGCTATATAGCAGTCCCGCTGTAACAGGGATAGTTTCGGAGGGGAACCTATGTCCTCCTCGTCATCAACATGTTCTTAATGTTTTTCAGGTGATTTATTTGCTGGCTAATTAATATTAAGGAATGAAACGCAGACGGTGTGATGGAGAATTAAATTCCCCATCAATCGATCCCCGTTGCATCCCTTAATCTCTGTAACAAAAAAATACAAACTACGACAAAGTCATGGGCCAGTGAGAAAAATAATTTTCTTCTCGGCGCACAGTGACTTTTCACCATTCGCCTGCGAATTAAAAATTCACTTCTCCCCTCCTAACTGAGATTAAGGGATGAAAAAAGAGTAGTTCGATGGAGAATTAAATTCCCCACCAACTGGCCCTCTTTCATCCCTCAATCTCTGTAAAAAATGGAAGAAACTGTCATGGATATAACAGCGCAGTAAGAAAAATAATTGTTTTGCGGCGCACAGTGACCCCCGGTAATTAAAAAT